ATCTATCAAAGTCTCGAGTTGCAGATAGCATCGTCTGAATGACGCCATTACAGTCAATGGCCATAAAATTTGAGAGTAGCTTGAGAAATATTTCTCAATACAAGTACAAACATTTAACGTAAACCGTAATAATAGGAAATTCTTCGAAAACAACGAAAGGAATGAGTAAAATGAGCCACTCCGTTAGCTGAGCCCTCTGTCAACATTTCTCTGTTAGTTTGTTTCTTGAATTTTAATTTTTTTAAAAATTCTCTTGTCAAGAATATCTGTAAGCAAAAGAAAAGTCAAAAGCATTTGTCCAGAATGTATGTGTGGGTGCTACTTTTTCTCATCGTAAATTGGTGTTCGACTTGTCAGAATATCTGCGTCCGTAAAAAACTCGTTCCTAGATATTGTCAGGTATCGTTTCAACCTAGTAGTTACCGCATTGGGCAAGAGTTTTGTTGCATGCCATAGCTTTATTCATATATTATGTCGAGTATCTGATCGAAACCTACTTAATATACAACCGATATCATATTTTTAGGTGCAAAAATAACATTTAGATCAGCTTTTTGATTAGAAATTTCTCATTATTTATGCTTACATCGCTTTTGGGATCGTTCATAAAGGACGCAATCAAATTATTTGCAAAACAAGTAAAATGGTTTAAACTTCTTCCCGTTAAACGGAGTTTTCATTACGTCCACGGGGTTTGTTGTTCGTGTAAGCACTTCCCTTAATTAAATATTTTCTAAGAACTCGAAAATGTATTGTTTGACGACAGTATTTCCCGAGACAATATTAATTACAATTCTGTATTCTTTGGGGTTAATGGTATATCCAGCAAAACACTCTACCCTTAAAAGCCTCGAGGGTAACGTCTTTACCGAATAATCGCGTTTGACGTCAAAATATACATTATATTATTTCGAATTGTTTAAGTAGAGTAAATCACGCGAAACTGAAACAATACTATGATAGTGTATTGCAGATAGGTTTACACTGAAACGCGATGCAGTTGTTTTTGGGGCATAGACTACTGCCTTAATTCGTGGTAATAATTTAGTTAGTTTTAAAATTAAGTTGAAATATTAGATGTAGTTAATATTAAAGTGAATTATAAATCATTTAATAATCCAAATTTTGCAGTAAAATGCAGCAACCGAAAGTATAAAAATAAATTAAATAAAAATGTCGCCCAAGCGGAATATTAAAACGAAAATATTTTCATTTTCTGATTGTGCAGAAAACTTCCTTCAATATTTTAAAAGCAGCAACAGTTCTGATTTATCTACCACGACGTTATTCGTCTTTCTGTCGGGTACAAACGTGAGTAGTGCGTTACTTTTGAGTTGAAATCGGTCAAGTCAAAGAACTTTTTTTTTTTTAATTGGTTTCGTTCTCCACATTTACCTCACATCCGTCGCATTAGACATTTCTGCTAGAGTATCCACTGTGAACATTTATGTTAACACAACCAGATTAAGGTCGATGCCATTTGCACCGACTTTAGGCACAATATTCCACTCCTTCCTGAAATGACTTGCATGTTATATAAAAGACTGAGAGTTACATGTGTCTTTCAGAGCAGTCTGAACCTGAATATTGTGATTTTGACAAGTTTGCTGACGATCTTTTTTTTTTTACAAAATCGTCTAGAGTTTAGTAGATTGTAACAAAAGTCAAAGTCATCTTGCTTGCCTGGAGCTCTTCTGTGTCGAAAATAACTTTTTTCAAAACATCAAAAAATGTCAATCAAAACGTTCAATAAAAATAAACAAATAAAAATGTTGACCACAAAATAGGAAACAATACTCTTTGAAAAGTCGTCCACTGAAGAGATAACACTGGCTCTCATTCTACTCTGTGCCTGCTTATATGTTGTTTGAGGGGCTAAAGGATCGACATTAACATTGTCTCGGATGACTGACTCTCATATTGGTGAGTTGCGGTAAAATTGCTTATAGATTTTCATGAATTCTCGGATTTTTCTTTGGTAGAAGAATTGATGATATGCCAGAATTCTAGTTTTGTCGAATAAGATGTGATGTCTGGTTTTATGATTGAGTAGGACAACTGCTGATGAGTTTATTTATCGTAGTCTTAAGACTCTTTCATGTTCTCTCAGCCTAGTTAATTCCTGTATCGCCAATATGTGCATGGAATGCTGTAAACTTCTGGTATCTTAAACGGAATTTTGTCTTTGAAGGATCGAATATGTTGGATAAGTGCGAAATCTGGTTATAACGTTATATTTCTTAAGAACTTTTGATATGCGGTCAGTGATGTTTTGAATGTAATGTAGTTAGTGCGCAAGATATGTAAAGGAATGGACAAGATTAATAAATACTATTACAGTAGCCTGTTGAAGTTTCTTTCAAAAATTAACAAACATTTATGGATAGGACACAGTGCAAAGGAAAAAGTTAGATCACCCACTGAAACTGGTAAGATTACTTTGTATACTGATTTTGTACAGACCATAACTTTGTCCCCAATTCTCTTAAAATATCCCATGATGTGAAAACTTTGAGATAGAATTCATCATAGCTGCAAAGAAATAGATCAAATCAATAAGACTCTTCTGGCTCTAGATCTTGAAATTGCTTCCATCCGAGTTCGATACCCTTTCAAATATAATTCATGGATATAGTTGGAAATCCACTTTTATCTTCTAGTCAAAATCACACACAAAAATTTAAAAAGTAACGTTGATTTTAGTGAAACCATAAAAACTCTTCTCAATCACCGAGACAGAAAAATCAATTCTTGCTAAACGTTCCAACTTCGTTCTTGTCCCATGTATTATCCCAAAAGAGAAAAAGATTTCAAAGGTCGACTCTATGCTAAACAATTTGCCATCTTAAACAGGTGATAAAATTCGATTTGAAACCGCAAAAATCCTTTAAAAAAAAACCAAACAACCTAAATCTAATATTCCAACGCCTTACAAACAAGGATTATCACTTCTACGTATTATCAGCACCATTCGTTATCCAACATATTTTATAGCAAAATATTAAGCTACTATGTAAAAAAACTTACAGCCAAAACTGATAATATAATTAAATCCTTGCTTTTCATTGAAAAATTAAAAACCTTTGCAAACGATTCAAACGATAATCTGGTTAGTTTTGATGTAGAATCCGTCTTTACTAAAGCTCCTATTCCCTATTCAGATATATTAAAATCCGAGATTCTAGAACCAAACCTCCTCATCTTAATTGAAAAATGCTTGTCTGGAATATATTTTTGTGGCAACGGTCAAATTTATTAACAATCTCCTGGAATAATAGGTTCTCCATTAACAGCAGTCATCGCGAATATATTTACGGAAGTTTTTAGGGAGATAGCACCCGACACCTTCCATCAAAAACCAAAATTATGGAAAGGCTATGTTGATGATACTTTTGTTATTTTCCTTATGGTCAAGAAGCCTTTTCTTAGATTTTCTTAGCCATTTAAACACTTTAAAATACGTTTTACCATTGAATTAGAATAATTAACAATTAGAACTAACAATAATTATATATTTTTATTAATTAGAAATCGGACCTAACATTGGGTCATTCTGAAAAACTACACACACACAGACCGATACCTTAATAAATAAATAAACTATATTAATGAATAAAATGTTCGCATTCATAGCTGAGTATTTTCTGAATGTTGGTCAAACCAATGTTTTTTTTTTACATTTTAAAAGCAAAAAAAGTACGTAAAACCATTTAATATCTCGATTCACGTACAGTTATTTAGGTTAAGTTGACGACTTAGAATGTCGCGCTTTTCACAATCCTGCTCTATATATTTTCGTGTACAGGTGCCGCTAACAGAAATTTCAGTTTACATGGCAAAGTGCCTTTTCTAGACCAGCTTCTTATCCCATTTCTTAGAATTCAATGACAGGCAGGTTTTGTCCATCCACCATATTTTGTCTATAATCACAAATATCAATGATTTTAAAGAAACCAAACCTTTACTAAAAATTTACTACAAACTGGGATTTCTAAATTAACTCAACTGGACAATTCGATTTAAAAATATTACATTTCAGTTCTAAAACCTTAAACATTCAAAAAAATAATAAAATTGTTCGATTCAGGAGTAAATTGCTATTGGATCTACTAGAGAGAACATTAAAGATATATATTGTCACTACTAGAAGAAACAAAACTAACAGAGCCTTGTCTCAAATATTACGCTGTTAAGAAAATAAACCGCCTTGTCCTCCTACCCACCAATTTAATGTAAAATCTTTTTTTTATAAAAAAGAGGCATCACACATGTTTAGACGGCTCAAGCGCTCATCTTTAAGTAACGCCTAAAATAACATATTTGTAGTGCAAGTTTAAACTTTATTGTAATATAAAAACAGCATCCCACCCTGAGCAGAAACCGCAAACTAATATGAGGGGAGTAAAAACACATAATAGGCTTACACCATCTTGAGGAAGAAGCCAGGGGTTGAAAGCAAATAACCCAGGTTTACCGCTTGGTTAATTGACTCTGCAAATATCTTATGTCAGGCGTTAGTTAAAGGTGAGTACTTGAGTACATGTACCTACATCTTTTTTTAATAAAAAAACAGATTTTACATGAAATTTGTGTGGGAGGGCATAAGGTTGATTCTTTTCCTTTGGGTATACAACTCAACTACGAGAGATGTAATTTTAAATTAAAGATTAAACAGAGTATATTCTGATTCCTTATTACGAAATCACAACTGTAATTATTTAGCATATTCCATATATAATAACGATAAGGTTTGTTTGCAGAAATAGTTATAACATAACAATTACATAAGATTATAATAGAATACATAAAACAACTTTCTTTTTGGAATCTGACTAAGTGACTGTGTTTTATGTAAAAAATTATTCCGCGTTAACAGTTAAGAAAACGCAATATGACCCACAGAATCCAAAAACGTCAACGGAACTCTGACATCAAATGTTAATGGGATTTCGGTTACATAAAAGAAACCTTAATTATAACCCTTTCCTCGTTTGTTTCAGGATGCTCCGGTAACCCCGATGCCAAACGCCTCTACGACGATCTTTTATCGAATTACAATAAATTGGTGCGCCCAGTTGTCAACGTTACAGATGCCCTATCAGTTAAGATCAAGCTCAAGTTATCACAGCTTATTGACGTTGTAAGTAGAACATCGTGGTGATTTACAGGAGGCAACGAAATGTCAGAAGTCCGGTTGAACATTTCTTGACCCAGAATCTGTTAAATGCTTCCAATTTTTGTATAGTGTTGTCGGACGCGCTACTAAATTATTGCGATTGCAATTCGGCAATTTTTCTAGGGGATTATATTGAGTATGGTTTGTTATTTTTGTATACGTTTAAATATAAGTATTTTTTTGCTTTTCATGGTCTTAATTCATAAAACAAATTCAAAAACTAGTTCTAGTTTTATATATCTCCTCTCTTTCCGTTTTTGCATATCTTTTTTCTTTGCTGTTTGCTGATATTTATTGACAAATTACGCTATTTTTTAATATTTATGGTTTCGTATTGCAACCGATCAGCCTTCATCTGTTTTACTGACTTGCAGAAAATGTTCGATCGAATACAATTGAAAGATATAATACACGTTCTTTACGATCGACAAATTCCATTCAACATCATCAAAACAATTGAAAATATATACACGAAAAGTAACATACAAGCAAAAGTAAATGGCGAATTAACTCGGCAAATTTCTGCAAGTAATGGCATTCGGCAAGGCTACTCTTTAAGCCCGCTTCATTTTAACATTGTAAAGGATAAAATAATCAAACAAGTTCGCAAACTAAGAGGATACAAAATGGGAAATAGGGAACTGAAAATTCTGTGCTAAGCAGATGGCGTGGCTCTTGTGGCGGCAAAAACAAAATCGATAGTCACTTCAAAGTCACCGATCAGATGCAAACTTGTGGTTGAGAATAAAATAATACAACGAGAAATGAAATTCAAATATTTAGAAATTGAAACAGAAGTAAGGAACAAAGCTACGAACGATGCCATCTGGCGAAATAAACACATGAGAACCAAAACAGAAGCCTGGATAAATAAAACTACTATTAGACCTATACTCACCTATGTAGCAGGAACCCGACCTGGAACTTCAAAAACACAATGAATATTAGAACCACGGAAATGGATTGGGAAAGAAGTGAAGTTATTAGGTGAGTGTGAGAAGTAGATAACATCAAAGACTGGGTGTTGCGACGAAAGATAAAATGTAATGAACACGTTCATTGAAAGACCTAGGAAAAGGTTGAGCGGCAACCTCCCAAATGACTGAATTATGGCAAGGATGTGAAGAAAAAGAGGCAATCATGTCTATATACGTAGTAAGAAGAATTAGAACATTTCATGTTCTCTGAAGCTTGAACAAAGTAATCGAAAACTTGATGAAGCAACTTTATGATAACATATATCGCAACTCCAAGATAATAACGTCCTGCCATTAAGAAGTGCTCGCTCGTATAATATATTTGTGGGTATAACGGAGCAAGCAATGACGTAACACAAAGAATTTCTCTTGGTGTATATACTGATATACCCTTGATACTTGTATATAGGAATATATGTCGAACATTTTTTTTTCTGATTCTCGCTATATCCTGAACAACATGTAGCATAACACTGTTACCAGAAGAGCAAAGGAATATAATTTAAAGGAACTAATTACAAGTTAGCGAAGCCGGGTCGGGTAGAAAAGGAATGCAAACTTCGAAGTGGATGAAGTTAGCTTTTAGAAATGTGAAGACGAAAGTGCTTCTCGGAATCGACAGACTCCGATAAAAAGTCCAATGGGTTAAGTTCGAAGACGAATGAAGATGAGTAAATTGAAACTCGTATTGATTCCCTGTTAGTGTTTACTTTTAAAATGTAAACTTTGTCTCTATATGGAGACAATTGTTTATGTTATTTTATATTACTTAATTGTATTATTAATTTGAAAAAACTTCAACTTAATTGATTGTAATAGACAAAACAAGAAATTAATTTTAATACCGCAAACTAACCAAAACTAACCAAACCTCACATTATTAAGTTTCTTGTTCATGAAAATTGCTTTTCGTAATTTCAAAATTCTAACGAACGTTTATGAGTTCTTTGTGTTATGTTTTTAATAAACTGAACCAACAGCCTTAGGTGAGCAACATCGTTAATAACATCGCAATTTTGTTTATACCAGTTTAACAGGAGTCATAATAAAACAAGAAATTTAATTTTTCCTTTATGCCCCCGGTCATTATTTGATGAGTAGAATCTCCAGTTTCCATTTTTGTTTTCTATTTCATTTTTATAGATAGCAATAACAGTTACTCATAAACGTTTTTAATCAACTAAAGACTTGTCACTGATCAATAGTGACCCTTTTCTCAGCCATAGGAGCTAGTCTCTATTTTCTAAATCTCTGTTTAACTCAAATAATCTCTATGAGAGTTTAGAGAGGGAGGTTTATGTTCTGGTGGAGTTACAAGTGCAATTAACATTTTAAAAATCGTGAAAATGTGTCAATATATCAGACAAGTGCCAGCAAATGGGCACATATTTTGTTTTACAATGTTATAATATATCTTATAAGTTGTACCAAATAATAGTTTCAGTTATTGTTAGCAGTTTAAAAATAGAGACCTCTGAAACAGTGAGGTTTAAAATGAAAGAGTGGTTTAAAAAAATAGAGGTTAGCCCTTATACCTGAAAAGAAACTAGGGGTTCATTTGTAGTAATATTCATTCAGCCCCCCAACCCCTTATCTCAGGCAATCATTTTTTCTTCACAAATAATTTTCAGACTGAAAATATCTCTAAAACTTCCAATATACCACCATAATCAAAATATTTTAGCGGAATAGTCAATTTTGGTGTTATACCAAATTTTCAGTTCTCTTGGAAACTAGTCAATACTTGATTTTCTTAGTGTTTTTAACTGACATTATTTAAATATTTTCGTTCAACAATTTCACTCGCATTATAGGGAAAGTGTCAATGTCGAACTTTATTGCAACAGAACCCCACCGAGAATTGTAATTACTCCTGATCAAATTCAATTAATCAAATATATGTATTGTGTGTCGCCTATTGGGTTAAGTGTTTGAGGACAACCAAAATTAATTGCTTTAATCGATCACTTAATTTATGGACGGACTTGTACTTGAAGCAGTAAGCTTTTGGTTTTGTCACAAGAAGATGCTTTTCGTGTTCGAAAGTTTCTCTGCGACCTTAACGATATTTTAATTATCCAATACTAAACTTTAAAGCTGTAGACTACGGCACCATATTCGCATTAAGTAGATACTACACCTATTGACAAAATGAAATGTACATCGCACATTTCCCTCTTGTTTCATATTTTATTTCGCTTTTGTTGTGATATTCAATCCCGGGTTATATACTAATTATTTTTGTACTGAAAATTGATTGATTTCACATTTTCACCGTTTTTGCTAAACAAGCACTAGTTAACACCTAATTTTTAATAGATTTACGTGTCTTCACAGTAGTTGAAAAGCCAAACTTTTGCGACCGCCCCTAGGGAGATACCAACCAACAAGTTCAGATTCCTTTGCGCGCTAACCAAATATTTCAGCTTATTTCGCCATCCACCCAGAGATATCAACATATTTGGTACGCGGGTTTTGAAGGCACTAAACTAATAGTGCCTTCAATAATAGAGGTTTGGGGTCGAAGTTTGGACTTTTCCATAACTCTTGACAATTACCAAAACCAAATTACTTTCTGGTTTGCCCACAATTTGATGTATTGTTCAACATGTTCTTCGACATAAGATATAAAACCAAAAAATAGCTAGTCGAACCTAATAAGTAATTTTTCGTGCCTATTGAAAACGTAAAAAGGCAATAGAAAAACCACGAATATTGCGAAGACGATTCTTTTAAAATTACTCCATCGTGTCCGGCTATTTCGATAATGCTCGCACCAAATAGCAAAATGCAGTCTCGCGGCATACAAAGCAGATATAAATTTTAAAAGCTTTTAGAGAGGGGTTTCCTATTGGATGTTTCAAGTGGTGACCTGCAGAAATAGTTCGATGGACTGTATTAAAATTATTTTAAAAGATTGATTGGATAATTTTTTATGTGGTTCGTGTGAAATAACCACCGATACTATTAAATTTGAATTTATGCGATGACATAAAAACATCTGGATATTAATTTTCCGAATTAAATTGAAAAGCACGAACTGGTGGATCTCGATTTATTCGAAATCTTATCGTACCTCCCAAAATGTAGCTGGAAACAGGTTAAATCTACACGCTGTGAAGAGGGGTTTAATATGAAAATTGGATGTTTACTCTACCAAAAATAATATATTAATTGGGGCATAGTTAAAAATAAGCTTGATGTATTGCGCATATATAAATTGAGCCTACCACTAATGATCAAGTTGAAATTTTGCATACACGAAACATTATTGAGGTACCCTTTTAATTTTAAAAATATTTTTTTTCATTTAGAACAAAATTTAATTTCCCTTTCGTGACATTATGGCACCTATTGATTTCTTTTACCCCAAATTGTAAAGATTTTTCAAACTTGATTGCAATGTCTTTTTGGAAAATATATTGTTAAAATCTGGTACAGGCAATCCTATATTTGCCACTATACTGTCCACAATTAGTTTGTCGTAAAATATAATAATTACATCCTTTAATTTTTTGTTAAGGGTACAAATGAAGTGACAAAAATTTTTGTACCAATATTTGTTGGAGTAAAGCCAAACAAAACGAAGAAACCAATTTTTTTGATGGAACTACTATTTACAACAACAACCACAGTTTCAGTTAAGTTCTGAAGAAGCCAACAGGATAACTGGCGAAACGGTAGCAAGTTCGACTTAAAAACCGAGTCCGAAGGAATCCAGAAGTTTTGTAAATAGTAGAGATATATTATAAGTTAAATTAACATGCGCACAAATAATTAACAACAAAATGCATAAAACAAATAAATAAAAATAAAAAAGTTTCTATAAAATGATGCAAGCGTAACAGAAGATATATTCACACAGTAACGAATTACAGAATCTTATCGACAATTAAAGCAGAATACTATTGAAAATATTAATGTTTGTTTTAATTGAGTTTTTTTTTTCAAATACATACAGGGCCCTTAAAAGATGAATTATTAATTATATGGCTTGCTGAGATGTTGTTTTCATGTGTAAAAAGTGATTTAAGTTTCATTTATTTGTTTACTGGGTACTAAACATCTTGTATTAAACAAAGGCAAATTAAATACAAATTTTTGAATGCATCATTCTTGTAAGGCCGATATAATCGAGAACATAACTATCAGGACACACAGGTGCGGCTAAAAAGTTTTGGATCAAAATTTTTCTACAATCGAAATACATTTTTAAAAAATTGTGGCGTTTTTAAATTGACGCCACGATAAAATAGGAAAGTGGAAAATATAAATTATCATGATGCCAAAGGCTCTTCACATATCCAATCCATTCTCAATGGTTTGTACGCCCCGTGCGCTTAGCTGAAACAAGTAATCGCCATCCTATGAAGGTGGAAAAGATTACTTCCTCAGGGGGCAATATTTAGTTTTTCTTTATCCCTTTTAAAATTAACGGCATCAATATTATTTTTTTAATTTTTAAATTTACTTAGCCTATTCTTATAATACATTTTATAGCATAAAAACTTTGAAAGATTTCACTAACTTGACTGAGCATTTTTTTTGAAGCTGTATCCGTTTTCCTAAATGACAAGTAATGCTTTGTCAGACTTCTCAGCTCACGGTAAAATAAAACTTAGTCAATGTTTTTTTATTACGTGATGAATATACAAAAGCCTGACTAGCGTGTGACCAACACAAAGAAAATGGAATCTATAGCTGCTAAATTCGCATTTCACGATTAGGATCCCGGCAAAGAAAAGGGAGAACGGAAACCCTAAATTAGACCCGTTAGTATTCTGTTTGGTATTTACAAAAATATTGTAGATAATCTGAATTATTGCCTTAAGGTCCTATTTTGAAAGCTATAAAAATCACGTTAGCTTCACCTATTGTCGAAATCAAAGATCGCTTAAGACGTATCATTTTCTTCTCACAACTTTGCAGTTCCAAGAATTAGAAAAATGAGCTGTTTTGAAAAAAAGATATTCAGAAGCAGATTCCAGCATGTGAGGGATTCTTGGAAGAATTAATTTATCCGCTATATGTTGAAGAAAATTGTATAGTTCCATCAGAGTAGTGAACCAGACCGAGTTTTTTTTTCGCATTTTCGAGATATTATCCTATTAATTCTATAAATTGCTGGGTCTGTAAAAATGGACGATAGCACAAGTGACTTCGGTTTAAATATTGATTCCGGAACTACCTTCATAGTTATTCAACATTTTGATCACTGACATCATTCGTGTACAATATATTTTAAAACCCGTTAACCAGGCAACTTTCAATTTTTATAACTTAAAACCCTGTTCAATAATCTCTCGGACAACCTGTACGATCGTCCATCATTCAAAACCTTCGTTGACTATATTTTTAATAACGTCGAAGAACAAGATAACGAAAATTTTGTTTTCGTTCTTATCAACGCCGTATAATAATAATGAACATTCCTTTTAGTACGCTTCGAAAAGATGATATTTGATTACGGTGAAATATTTACCGCGAGGAACGCAATTTATATGGAGGATGCCTCCGTAATAATAAGGTACAGAACGTAATTCAGCAATTTGACGAGATCGACAGAGAAAAACGTAAGAAGAGAAATTGGAACCCGATAGGCCTCGCGAAGAATTTCATATTGTGTGGGGCGAAAACGTGTTTGACATATTACGAAAGCTTTGCCGAACAAAAACGTATCCAATCGTAGTAATTTAAATTTTCCTCCTTTTGCTTATTTGGCTTTATTACCTAGCTTTAATTGCAACTAAGGTAAACAGAGGTAATTTCGATGAATTATGGATGAATAAAATTGAAAAAATTAGGTATCTGAAATAAAATAAAAGTTTTGTTTTGTGCTACGCAAACACGAAGAGCATGTTCTTTCTATATATATAAACTCTTTATTACCTTTATGAGAATTTTTGTATTCAATTCTAACTATACGGTTCCATATTAAATAATGGAATATAAAAAATGGATCTACCTAGAGAGGAAATATTATTACATCGCAGTTTATGATTTCCCTTTCTTTGTTTTCATTGATGGATTGAGTTTCTTTTTATTAATTTATAAAGTCAAATAATAACAAATTTGCTTCTAATAAAGATAATCAAAATTTTGAAGACGAATTAGTATTGATTCGATCTCAAATATTTTCATCATAAATATGTCTCACATTCCGGCAGTTGTAAATAAATTCATTATAAAATTCTTTAATTATGTTATACACTTTCTTGAAAAATCAACACAATCAAAAATGGGATTAAGTTGAACCCAGAATTGTCAAATGTCCATTTTTAACAAATAAGAAATCTGCCAAACCTGTTAGATCCAAGGGGTAACAGAAAAAATGTTTATTTTATTTTTATATTATTAGAGCTGCCATGTCCGTGCCCAATGACCATTTTTGTTTTAATGAATAGAAAGTTCTTAGCATACTATCTTCACGTGACTTTGGATTTTAGAATTTAGGTGACTTAGCTGTACTAAACTCTATTTCGATGCAAATTTAAATGATTTCAATTTTATAAATAGAATTATTTACAACCTCATAAAAAATATTCATTAACAACAACAATTTTGGAAAAGTTAAATGATGCAATTTGAACAAACTCATCAAGAAATTGCTTGGTGTGATCGGATTTAATTAACCACAACTAACCGAGACTAGTTTTTTTTTAGATCCCTATCGGAACTCTGCAATATTTAATGGCATTTCTCAGGAGCTCTAGACTTGCGTTCTCAATTTTTTAACTTTTGTCCAGCCTAACAAAAAATTAAAATAATTTGTTTCTACATTTATTTTTTTGTTAAAACTTTATTATTGTGTTTGTGTTGTATATTTATAACGATACTGAATTCAGTGTTGGAGTAAAATTAAATTTTAGTAAACAGGTTGCTAACGACAGTTCAAATAATTATCAAGACATTTACAATAAAAGAACATGCAGGCATACACATTTGAGCTCGCAGTTTAGTAATTCGGCGTAGTTCGCGAGCAACTCTTTTCGGCAACTTCCGATGTGATTTAAAATAGTTAACACCCGAAAACAAGATTTCAAACATCCAAACTACCCCAATATTTCTTGCGCCGTGTCAGTTCCACTCAACGAAACGTTTCACAGGTCAGGAACAAGGAAAGAACACGGCGCGCTTATATTTCTTTCTCCATCGATAACCTTATTAAAGATAAATCCTTTGAAGTAGGAAAGGTTCGGTAAAACCGAGGCACTTGCGACATTTCAGCAATGGAAAGGAAAAATATTTGTCGAAATAACACTTAAGGCTAAGCGGGAGATAAATGATGGTCGTTGAGTTATGAATAAAGTTTGAGAAGTTATGGGCGTAGAAGTCTTTGTCTAACTTTCCTAAATTGTATAAATTATAAAGTATGAGATTAAATTCGCAGTATCTGTGACTGCTAAAATAGCTTAGAATGCGAAAACACAAAAAGTCTATAAATGAGAGATATATGAAAATATATGAATTTCATGTTTGTTAGTTATAGTCGCCGAATGATAACCACCCAAAGTAATTTTTTCCAAAACCCCAACTAGCCCAATTCTTATGCTCTTAATCTGCATGTTTTTTTTTTCAGAATCTCAAGAACCAAATCATGACGACGAATGTATGGGTTGAACAGGTAGGTTTTCCTTTTTGAAATTACGTTGATGATACTTAGGGGTCAAGTTTAAAAACAGAACGTAGTTTGTTTCATTGGTCTATAGTAAATTAAAAAGGGCATTCATTCACAAGTAAAATTACTTACTAATTATCAAACCTTAGTAATTAGTAATTAGTAATTTTTCATTTGCAAAGGCAATACTGTTGTTTTTCTAGTCGTGGTATGACTACAAACTCAAATGGGAACCAAAGGAATACGGGGGAGTTGAGATGCTCCATGTTCCTTCAGACCATATTTGGAGACCGGATATTGTTCTTTATAATAAGTAAGTGATGAATGTTGTTATTTTTTATACAGGATGTTCGTTGAGTCAGTGCAAACAGTGAAAGAGTCCAAGTGACATAATTCTTAATAGTGTGGAAAACTCATTAGTCTGAGAAAACGACAATAATTTGCGAATTCGTTTACGTTTTGGCAAAGTGAATTTAACATTTGTATTGGAAATAAGGAGTTATATATATTTTTTTAATAAGAATTCAGTGTTTATGTGAGGAAAATTTAAGCCACCGATTTTCATCTTAGCATTGTTTTTTAAAAATTAAAAATTGCCTTTTCTTTGTGTAATAATTAACTGCTTATTACTGCTGCTTTTCAGAGGCCGCGCTGGAGGCATTTAATTTATAATAATATAATTTATAATTTAATAAAATTTGAATTAAAACTAAATTTGAAACTATAGCAGAATATTTAACTGATTAATTATTATTATTATTATTGCCATTTATAATTAAATGAAATTGGCAGTTAGAGTTTTGCTATTTCTAGGTAGGTGCTTTTACTGTAGTTCATTAAAAAATCAAATATACCTTAATGTAAGGATCCTATTTCTCAGAAATTTGATGTTTTTGATGCTGTTCATTTCATAACATAGCGTTCATGTTACCACATTTTAATTATATATTATATACCTTGAAAACTTTCTAGTTCGTGTTGTGTCGAGTATTAATCTATATAAATACATCTCATAGGAGTTACCTACAGTATATGAAATCTGTATAGGGCCCTAACGATGTTTTCTAAATGAATAATGTGGTACCACAATGGGACGGAAATTATGTAATTATTCGAACTCGAAACACAAACCAGCGAATATTATGTTTCAAAATTTAAATAAGACTCGCACGTGATTAGAATTACGAAGCTGGACAAGTTCAACAATTTATTCCACGTATGTGCAAAAATATATTTTTATACAGGCTTTGTGGTTTGATTTGATGTGTTATTCTAAATTCCCCAAATTATTTATTTTCTCTATCGTGATAATGGCGTACGAATTAATTCACGTCATGGGCATTCAGCAATTAGTCATTTTCACAATACCCGATCTATGTTCAATTCTGATTTGATTCCTACTTACTGTTAATTATACCAACCGACCGACAATACCAATCCTAAATCGGTAATATGAACCAATCCATAACCCTTATTTTGAATAAAATTGTCTTATGGTGACTGGCCCAAGGAAAATTGCAAACCAAAAAATAAACCAGCAAAAAATTTAACATTCGAGAATTGATAAACAGGATTATTTCAGCCACGTCACTGGAAGAGACGTAATATCCGAAATCTCTTTTCTATACAATTTTTCCGCCATTAATCTTTCAGAAAGACTTATCGGAAGCAGAGACTGATGTGGGTAAACTGACACAGTTTGATGGCTATTTGATAATCCTTATAAGGCGACGACAGTAAACATTAAATTACTACACTTCCAAATAAATTGTTATTACTACCGATGCATATTTGAAATATTTATTTGATAAAAAGGCACTCTCAAAAATATCGGGCGAAAAATAGTAATGAAATAGCTTTAACAATATTCTAATCTGAAAATATTAATCGAGTTTATAAACTCATTTCAGATGGAGTGTGAGTTAGAGTACCGTGGCGTTCCTCGGTGTTCACAAATCATTTGGTCACATTATATAACTGAGTAACAATTAATCTGCCATTGGGATGAATTTAACCAGTCTGGTGAATTAGGCCAAAATATATAAAAAAAAAATTGTGACTTTCTTGAATCACCCCGTTTTCTTTTTTATTTATGACTGATTAATGTAAATTAATGTTTTAATGGAGAAAATCAATAATTAATGAAAAATGGTTTACAAGAATATTATTAAACTTCATTACTTGAAAAAATATAAAAAAGAAATATAGCAATTCGTGTCATTATTTAATTAATCTTTTTGGAATCTTGCGAATTTTTATATGGGTTAACACTTTTTGTATTGACATTGGAGACAACAATAACAAGAATGGGATAGTGGTGATCAACATAGAAACAATGATTTGCTGCTAGTTTTACAACTTCATACTGCTGGACCAATTTCGGCCGTCAGTAAATTTCGTAAAATGTCAGAAAACGACAAATTTGGCACTAAGTTTTGAGAAGATAGGTAAAAACTATAATGTGACACCATAATAACTTTACAATTATTAATATTCATTAAACCTGAGTTTCGGGAAGAAAGTAAACAAAGAAAAATTGTACCTAATTTAAAAACATGTCGGTCGGTTTTTTAGGCATCAAACTAATGTTTATGTAACCGTTAAATAAATATAAATAAATACAAATTCTCGCCATGTTCCAATTAAGTGGTACTTTTATCCAGCTTCTCTGCGTAAAGTCGTAAAGAGCACACGTGTCAACCCTGGGTGCATAAGCATTATTTTTGTATTCCTTTTTGTTTTTTGTTTTGCTAACCAAGTTCACAATCAGCAGATATAAACCTTTTATACATTTAAAATATGCATTTATTCAAATAATTCATAAATTAATTGAATAACGTTTAATTTTCTTGAATGGATCAAGCAGTATTAAAGGAAGACAAGCATTAAATTTTCCAAAAAAATAACAATTCGAATCCAAAGAAAAATATATAATTTTTCAAAGAACCTTCCACAGGCTACTGTAATACTTTTTATAAAACTTCTGGATTCCTTCTGAGTCGGTTTTTGCTGCGAACATGATGAACGTCAGCAAGTTCGACTCAGCAAAAACCGACGCAGGAGTAATCCAGACGTTTTATAAAAAGTAGAAATATGTATAGTTCGTTCCCGATTGACTATATTGAGAAATTTTTCCTCCTGTACAATTGGAAATATTATTTTGTACAAGAAATTTTATTGATAACATTAAAATACATGTTTTAAATAACTAAAGGAACAGAGGAAAATTCCCGTTCAACCTAAAAAACCATAAAACAATTCTTCAATTAGCCCAAGAATTGAAAAACTTTAGAACAAATACAATGAACCATGAAAGCTAACATTTTTGGTAAATGTTTCTCTGTACGTTACAAGAATCGCATTTTCTAATCTATTTGATATTTACTTAGCCTCAGTTGGAACCATTTACCGGACAATAAAAGTGCTTTTACATTACGAGATTGCAAAACTTTTAAAGCGGCCACCTCATGAAATATTTGTAAGAACTTTACTGCAAGCCATTTCATCGGTTGTTGCAACCAGAGTTGCCGCTGGAGTTCATTAATCCTTTGTATAGACATCATTTACGGATTTTGTTCAATTCGAAATAACAGAGCATCAGAAAGTGTGTATTTCTTTTATCATAATAGCAAAATCATATCAAATTTGTAATTCCATTTAAAGCAGTTTACAGTCTCAGATATCACGGTTGATGAAGTATTAGACTTGACTCCTGTAGCGATCTGGTGCCGCAGTGTTGTCAATTGTATCGAGAAGTAGCAAAAACTTTTTTTTAATGGGATACTCTATACAATTCTGATAATTTTACCTATTTCTACGTTTTTCGATTGAAATAGACCCCAATTAAAATTCTAATCACTGAGGTACTTGGCTACTTAGAAATGTTAGCTGCAATTTATCAGTGCTCTGGATATTCACTGCCTTACGTTCGTTTTATTGTCCTGCATAAAATTCGAGAAAACTAACTTTAACTAAATTAAAAGCGCTTTCAGTTTGTGTATCGTGCTCTGACACCTCAACAGTAAAGTTTTTGAGATAAAAGCAGTTTTCTAACAAAAGAATGAAAAATAATTATTTTGAGGTATTGCATATGGTAGCTATGGAATTGACAATAGCATTCGCACAAAAAATATTTTATTGACAAGTATTTAAAAAGCGAATCAAGGAAAGTTAAAATGAATGAAAAGATGATTGAAATAAAGTTTTGAAGACATTTTTTTAACAACGTACCAAATTTGTAAAGTGGCATTTTGTATTTTATAATTTTCAATATTGTTATACGTTTTCAAAAGTAAGCAAAATATGACCAATCGAAAGCAGTGATATCAGACGAATGAACAATAAATTCTAGAAAAAATATGATCAGTGTGGACAAACTTCAGGCCGTCATACAAGCATCAATAACGTCGACAGGCTGCATAATGCACTCGCGCCCACAAATAGCTGACGCGATATAATATTGGAACTACATTTTTCGATTTTAGCACCCTTTGCCTTACGCTTCGGAGCAAAAAGTTGAGAACCGATACTGTTTGCCATGAAATGGGTTTTCCCGTGACTATGTAGAAATGTTTACTCAGATTGGTCCTTTCTGGGGTAAATAAATATTTTCAGGAGAGTTCTTTCAGTAGCGAAATGGAAAATTAATGTATGCTTCGCATTAGCACCGAGGAAATGGTTTCTACGGAAAGCAACAGTTTTATTTCTCAAAGCTGATCTCGGTTAATTGTTATTTTTCGCTTACGCTGTACCGTAATTTTCGCACATTTCAGTTGTTAACCCGGAGATCATTCCTTAAAATTCTCTGTGGAATGGGAAGCGAAAAGCAAACCCCAAGGGGGAGTGTTCTTTCTGATAAAAACTTTTTCCCCAAAATAAACCCTACTAAATAGCCTTAGGTGTTAATTCATAGAGGTTTCGCAAAATAAACTTACACAGCGGGTTGGGAGATAACATCCAGCGTCAAGAGTTTTTTTTGGGAAGGGCATTTATTATTGCAAAAAAAATAATATTAGACCAATAAATTACATTAAAAAAAACTAATCAAATATTTTAGTTCCAAAAGTATGAAATTGGATAAGTAAATGAAAGTGGTAAAAATATTGTAAATATATGCTATCGTTTAAAGACCTCATTGATAAACCTTACATATTCTTGAAACCAAATTAGATGCTTAAATTAGCATCACACTTCTCTTGCAAAAGACATATTATGACAATTATGATATTATAAAAAATAGAATATACCCATTAGCGAAAATATGGTTGGTGTCTATTATTAACATTATTTTTTAATATATTTCGTATTGGGCAATGGGCTATAGTATTTTAGACTCTTTACTAACACATTAAAGCTTCTATTTTTCGCACCAATACAGCTTTGCCAATTACTTAGTAAAATTAATTAATTATTACACACTTTTTTGAAAAAGTTCAAAGTACATTTTTTGTAATACACACAATCCACATACGGGGTATTGTCCCATATTTAACTGGGTGTATTTCTAAATTAAAAAGTTAATATAAATGTTTTCGAATCGCAGGGAGTCAAAGTTTTATTTTTATTTGTCGATTTCGGAACGAAAATTGGTTCCTATATAGGGTTTCTGACATAAGAAATTTGAGTTTGTTCTTAATTCAACTCTTATTTGTAGAGAGACGCGACCTGCATATCTTTTCTGACTTTCAAAAGTTCATGACTTTGTTTTCCACCTTATATCATATTTTTACTACTCAATGCTACGCCGATAACCTTTCACTTTTCACACTCATACTGATAAATTTTCATTAACGGCCCCCTTTTCAAACCTTCCAGTTTTTACGTCAGCTGTTCAACATTAACCCAAGACAATTAACCTGCATATTATACAACTTTTTGACAATACAATTTATAACAAGAGAACCCGTAGTAGTAGTTATAGAAATAATTCTGTCATTAATGAAAAGACGAAACACCCAATCATTTATTTATTTATTATTATTTTTATTTATTTATTTATTTAATAATGCGTCTTTAATGTTCTTTCGATACAGTTTTAAGGATGATAGGGCAAAGAAATATCTATGCTGATTAAAAGTTCAAAGCGCATTATACATAAACCACCGCCCGCAAAGTGCAGTTCTGTGTTGAGGCACAGCGTATTCTCCCTAATATTTACGTTGTAGGGAGGGCTAGAAGCCTTTAAGATCTTGTATATTAAAACAGCGATTAGGTATTCAAATAAGTTTTTCAATAAACAAAGATTAAATAAATAAATAAAGTAAATAAATAAATAAATAAAGATTTAATTGTCAAAGTAATGAAATTTGAAAAGTGGTGCATTGTCGTTGGGGGTCTCGGTAAAAGGCATCTCTTCAGAAGTCAAAAAAATCATTCTGCTAACATTGCCACGGCGCGGCTCAATTGTTTGCATTGACAAATTACTAGTGCAGCTTCGGTCGCAGTTTTCATTTGTTTTCTCGGATCAGTGCAGATGGCAACTTTGAGGTGACACTCGCCACAAAGGCAACCTTGAACTACACCGGGCGAGTGGAGTGGAAGCCTCCAGCCATTTACAAGTCTTCCTGTGAGATCGATGTCGAGTACTTTCCTTTCGACGAACAAACCTGCGTCATGAAGTTCGGATCCTGGACCTACGATGGGTTTCAGGTAGGTAGTGACAAAATGCATCAAACCTAGAACAATCCCTCTATAGGACGGGTTCGACGGCTCGACGGTTCGATCGCATAAGATCAGACAAAACAAGCAATTTACAAATAGAGTGAATTATCCAAGAGAAATATGTAGAACACCACAATAACACCAAATTTCACAAAAATCAGGCTTACCAATTATTACAACAATTGACAAAAGGCAATCCGGTATCTAACGGCTTTGATATATTCATTAAACTACGGCTTCCAGATTAATCTAGTGTCTAAGTAGTGATTATTTTCAGCTAATAATTTTTGGGGGCAGATTAATATAAAAATATATAAAAATTATATCCCTAACAAAACTTTGTCCTGAAGCTATACAAAATGCATAGCGCATAGAAAGAATAATTCGCCGTTGCCTGTCACGATTATTAAATTATAAACCATATGCGTAAATATTTTTTAAACAAAACTACCTAATCATAATAACCATAATACATAAAATAAAGTTCAGGAGAGGTGTAGTATTTATAGCTTTTAGACATTAAATACGGGTTCACAGCTGGGACCTGGTTATGATATGAAAGTCGTAAGCTCAGCTTAAAAATTTATGAGACTATTTTTTATTAATAACAGGAGGAGGAGACTGTGGAATTGTATAATTTATTAAAAGAAGTACTATTTTAGGTAGATCTTCGTCATGTGGATGAAAAGAAGGGATCAAGTGTCGTCGATATTGGCATAGATTTGACTGAGTTCTACACATCCGTTGAATGGGACATATTAGAAGTTCCAGCTATAAGGTACCAACTTTTAACTTTTTCTCTGACATGCTCGCCATATTATGCACAGTTTGTGGTAGTATAACTTAAATGGCATAGACAAGAAATTTTTTTAATTAAAATCTTACGATATCCATAACATGCAATTTCAAAGCCTTAAATTTTATAATTTTTGCCCTTAAGGGTTAATGAAACAGAGCGGTACAATTATGGGGATCGTGTTGACCCTGTGGAACTTCTTTGTTTAATTTGGATTTTTTTTTGGATTTTTAAGTATTTTTCGTAAACTGCTATTTAGCAATAAATTCCGAAAGCAGACGAATTGTATTTTATTTAAAAAATCATAAACCAAATATTGAGTAGGTATTCAAAGTGTCGCCAAATTTCTGTTCATTATTTTCAACAGGAGGAAAACCGAAACAACAAAAATCCTGCAGCTCGGAAACATGTTTTCGTTAAACTCATTTAAAGTCCTTCCAAAAAATAGCCCGTATACCAAAACTAACTCCTGCAATAAATATAATATAAATATAAAAATTAAATTAGTATTTATCAAGTAGATGTCAAGTGAATAATTTTCAATTAATTTCAATTATTTGATATGATATATCCCACGATAATCCATTATGCACAACTAATTTCAGATCATATTGATAGCTACTTTGTTTAGCATTATAAATAATTTATCCATCCATAAATAATTTTATACTAGTTCAAATTTTGAGCTCCTATCAAGCGTCATAAATTCGTGGAAAGTTTATTAACCAATAGTGTGTGCTTAGTAAACCGAAGTTTATTCCAATTTTTCTGGCTTCTCTATTTTTTGACCCAATATTTAACAAATCATACTTCTTATATGAGGTAAGTGTATAATAATTAATATTTCCCTTTGAAAAAGGGAGAAAGGAACTGTTATAAGCAAAGAAAACTTTTTCAATTAAAATTAAAATTTCGCTAGTATACAAAATTTTGCAGATTTATCTTTTCGAAATTATGCGGAAGAAAACCATCCCCTTGAAATTGAATAATCTATAAATCTTTTGGGAATCTTTCAGATTCTAGGCGTTTCGCAAAAGTTTTTAAATTAGAAATACGGTGAGGTTCTTATAAATACAAAACATAAACATTAGATAATTTAACTATTAAGTTTTGTTAAGCTCAGTGTACTACTGACAGATCGAGGTAACTCAAGAAAACATTTAAGTGTGGGCTTATTTAAAAAAAAATATTAATGCAGCATTTGTTGATATAGGGAAGTAGGAACTTTAAATGGCACTCTGTTATTATAGAATTCTGTTCCAAATTTTTAATAGCGTTTTATTAACATCTAGAATAGCTGTTTCGTAATATTTCAAAAAGAATATTTAATATCTACATAAATGAAGTTTACTATTTAGGCTCGTACGCTGCCTAGAAACAAGAGTTCTGTATAAGATCCGCAACAAAATATGGGATATTTCATTTGAAATTCCAATGTTGTCATTTGTCTGGAACAGATCTGGCAACGCTGAATTTACTAAATATTGTCATCCGTTTAGCCACATACATATTTGTAAAAAAATTGTGTTTTTAATTTTTCAGAACTTTTAATAGAACCTCCCAACGTAAATCGCAATATATTTAGAAGTTAGCTTAGTGTTAATCTCTTGATAGTTTTTTTTGTCATATTTGTAATGCATTTGGGAAAGCTTAACGTACGTTTTCGCCCAAATTAGAGTAGGTCTAATGGATTTTAAGCTTAAAAATATAGTAAAAGGTTTACTCTCCATGGACTGCGAAGGCTACATAATACACTAAAAGCAGATATAAATAATGCAAAAGAGTTAGAATGGCAGCTTGTTTTCGGAAGTGAGCTTCTTTGTGGAGATTTTTAAGGAAGAGGAACAATACACTTAGAAGAGTGTCTTTGAGCGACCGATGTTCAAAACTCAACTACTTTATATTAAATTCGTACTTTGAAACAATATTAAGTTTTTTTCTTTATTTTCAGAAACGAAAAGTTTTATACCTGCTGTGATGAACCTTACCTCGACATAACGTTTAACATCACCATGAGACGCAAGACGCTATTTTATACAGTAAACCTCATCATACCGTGCATGGGAATTTCATTTCTCACCATACTTGTGTTCTATTTACCATCAGACAGCGGAGAGAAGGTAAGCACTGGAAAAGAAACAACAACTTAATTGAATTTTGTAGATATTTGTTGCAAAACTAAATATTTTGGGAAGATATTCGGCAACGTAGAAGCAATTTGAAATACCAGATAGCCAAGAAACCAATTTCAGTTTCTTTCAAAAATTGAACTGAGGTGACTTTTACTTAAAGACACAGTGTTGTTGAAACAATTGTCATGTGAAAATATATAATTTCGTGTAAATCTGAACTTTTAGTTCTTATTTATTTTGTTAAATGGATTTTCATCAAGTAAAAGCCACCTCAGTTCAACTTAATTGAATCTAGAATGCAATGAAAATTTTAAAATATCCATTCTCTATTGAGTACCATTTCGTAAATTTGATTTTGAACAAGTGTAAAACTTACCCACCTTGCTCATCTACCTGATATCGAAATTGTAACCTATTCTATAATTGGTTATAATTATGATTTTACATCAGTAGCTTGTATTTCAAATATCAGTTTAATCCTGGCATTAAAAAAGGAAATTAACCAACTATGGATATCTTAGCATTATTATGGCGAAAGCGCTATTAGCGAACAACAACAACAAGCCAACGTCAATGATGAATTAATACATTCAAAAAGTTGAGGATCTGACATTTTAATTGTCCATTTACTGGTTGGATGGGGTGCAAAAAAACACTTGTTCACATCACAATAAAACACAACACGACATTAACAACTGTTGTTTTGAAAACTAAAATATGTCGTAGATAGTGCACAATTAGTTCATTGGCACAAAGTTGCAATTTCTATGTCATATCTGCTACTAATGTTGACTCTTTTACATTTAAGGTCAGTTTATCGATATCCATTTTGCTGTCCCTGACTGTATTCTTTCTGCTGCTGGCTGAGATTATCCCACCAACATCGCTTGTGGTGCCTTTGCTCGGAAAATTTGTACTCTTTACCATGATTTTAGATACATTTAGGTAAGTCATTGAATTGAAGAGAAGGAATTATGAATAATTTGAAATGACAATGTTTACCTTACAGTATATGTGTAACGGTAGTGGTACTCAACGTTCATTTCCGATCTCCCCAAACGCATGTTATGGCGCCTTGGGTGAAGCGAGTATTTATAGATCTTCTGCCAACAATATTGGTTATGCGGCGACCGCAGTATCCAGTCAGAAGAAGGTTTGTAACTTTCCTGTTGATTAATGAGTAGAAAATAAGTTACCTGAAAACTACTAAAACGAATACAGTAAATACGTCATCGGATATTTCCTGCTTAATTATTTGTATGCATAAAATGATAAGCGGATTACACTATAACATCACATTTATCTCCATTCTCGATTTTAAACGAATTAAAATTTTCTGTGTTGCCTATACCCGTGTTCGTTTTTAACGGTTGCTTGGTTTATATTCTTTCAGTATGTTTGCGCACCCCCATCATCGCCTTGTCGTTAGAACATGTAACGGACTGGAAGTTAGGGATGCCGACATGTATAGCGGCACGACAGCTTTGGACGATGTTCCGGAAGGAATATTTCCCAGTGCAAGCTCGCGAGATGAACTCACTCCTAGGCGAGTAAAAAAATTCTAAAAGATAGTTTTTTCAATTGCAAATTTGGAATTTCAAAACAAAACACTTCTATTACAGGGAATTAGAAGCTGGCACCCTTTCAAGTTGCGAAATTCATGGAACTACCCCGCCCCATGGAATCGAATTTAATTTAGCGGACCTAAGTTCTTTGCCATTGAACGATTTGCCCTGCAAAGAATCTCATGCGTGGCATCATTGTCCAGAGGTTCATAAAGCCATTGATGGTGTTCGATTTATTGCAGACCATACGCGAAGAGAAGAAGATTCCACTAGAGTGAGCAATATTTTTCTGAATTTAAGTGGTTTTATTAAAGCAGATTTGTTTTTTTTACTAAGATGTTAATATGGATGGAAAACTAAAAAATTAATAAAAAGAATTTAGAACTATTTTTATGAATATCGACACGATATTTAGAATATTTATTTCAAAAATTTTTGAACATAGTGCTTCTAAAAGTGTGTATGTCATATTGTATGTGATATAGTTGTATTTTTAATATAATATTAGCAAACAACCTGCAGTAAAACATTTTTCCTAGGCGTTTTCCTACTTTAATTTAATATGAAATTGAAATCGTTTTTCAAATTTTAAGAGTAATGGGTTGCAGGTAAAGGAAGATTGGAAGTACGTCGCGATGGTACTAGATAGATTGTTCCTGTGGATTTTTACGTTGGCAGTTTTGATCGGAACAGCCGGTATAATTCTTCAAGCACCAACACTATACGACGACAGAAGGCCTATCGACGTGCGCATATCCGAAATAGCTTCCACAACTGCTAAACCCCATGTTGCGTCTACATTGTAGTATATTGTAATGGCGTTCTTATACGAGGACACCGACCATTAACACCGCTGTTAATATTCGGTGACGAGGAGTAGACCGTTTTGGCTCATTGTACATTTGGCGGTTTACGACTTGTGTTTCTAGTAAATAATTTTAAGAAGATGTTTAATTTAACAAAATTGTTGTTTGTTGGGTGCGCCTGTTTCCAAAACACTGTACACATGAGTAAAAAGTCACTGTAACAGGGTTTCAATTATTTTCAATGTAGAATTGTGGTAACTATTTCAAAACAAGTCAAAAAAATCGTGAGATGATTTCTCTGTAAAAACATTCCGCCTCAAAATAGTTTTATCAACAAGAATTCAAACTTTAATTTAAGAATTAAAAAACATTCTTTGGTTTAAAATTGGCGATCAAGGAAAATACAGACAAATTTTAAGTTTTAAGAGTTTGTGTAGTTTTACAATCAAGCATACCAAAGGAGACACAGTATATATGAACTTTTAGTTATTAAATATGGAATTAAAACTGGAAAATTAAACTTGTATCGCCATTTCATTTTAGTTTAATAGAGTTGACTTTTAATCAAGGAACGACGCTTCACTGAAATTTTTAGTTAATTGTTTCGCAAAACAACTTTTAAGTAATTATTTTTTAAGAGCGAAAGATATAATTTTATTTCGAAGTAATTAATTAATAAAAGTTTATTTCGACGTTTTTTCCACCAAATTCTTAAATTTTCACGTCATTTTGTCACACACTGGAACTTCTGAATTGAGGTCCTTGCGTAATTAGTTAACTTTAAAATTCTAAAAGCGTTTTACCAGAAAAGTGTTATTAAAGACCAAAAATTACATTGGGATGTAAATTTTATGTTGCTGTTTTTTAAAATATATATTTTAACATTAAATGGCCCAAGCGTAATAAATTAGATATAATAGGTATAATTATTATTACGTTTTTTAAATGTGTATAATTAAGGAAATTTTTATTAAAAAATGTTTTATTAAAGAATTTAAATAAAATTGCTAAATTAATTATTGTTTTTAAAAAATAAATCCGAAAATAACGGTTCCAATCAGTTAAAAACCATGCCCTATTTATTTTTGTTGCAATGACTTGTGCATATCGAATTTAATAAAGTCTCATAATTTAAAAAATTAAAAAATTTGTTTCTAATAATTACAGAATTACGGCAACACCGCAGTGCTAAGCGATGTTGTCAGATTTACAATTTTTACGTTACATGTCAGAAATTTATTAGTTTAAAAAAGCAGCCAAAGTTGTTACAATAAATTTCAATACCTCAATCAAAAATCAAGAATGCTAACGGCTGTCATATTTAACTCTGTATAAAAAGAAATTCCTAATATTTCAGAATTTTGTAGGTTTCTGAACATCCAAACTTATAGAAGTGTATCAGCGAAAGGTTACCAGAATTATAATAAATATTATCGCTAAATATGACAACATTGCCGTTAGAATTTTTGAATTTTGCATGTTTAAAAACCCCGAGCTATTGAATGTTGTCGTTCCAGCTTTGGCAGTTTTGGAAATATTTAAGCGTTCTATTACTTTTTACTAGAAAAGCGGTGTTGCTGTATGTCAGTAATTAATAGAAGAAAAAACTGAAATTATATGTCCTTACCAAATTCGACATGCGTAATTCACGTGTAACGTAAAAGTAGTAAATCTGATAATATTGCTGTAGCATTTTTGAATTTCGCATGTTCAAAAACTACCAGGTATCAAATTTTAACGTTCCGGCTTTAGTAATTTTGGAGATATTTAAGCGTTATGGTATTTTTTACTAACCCTGTTTTTAAGTAGATAGATAATTTATTCACAAAGCCCAGTTTTGCCAGAAAACAATTACATAACAAATTACAACTTATGTATATGATAAAACAATGTACAAATTTCCTTTAAAAAGACGAGAACTACAAGCAATTTTGACATAAAAAAACCGATTCATTTTGAGAAAGAAAACTTAGATGATTTAAATGCCGTCAAATACATTTCAAATTCTTTCGGTCTGTAGAAAGCATTGCCCGACAGGAGCCTCTTGGTGTGTTTTTTAATTGCTTTGCTGATAGATTTTTCAGGTTTAGAGGAAGCAAATTATAATAGTATAAAACATGTGTTTTGGTTTCAATAACTGTTCTGTAATATGCGTATAGCAACTGTGGACATCATTGTGTTTCTGATATGAATCTTTCTTTATATGTTCTATCAGGAGTATTTTAAATATGTATCTGCATGGCATGGTTAATAATCCATGCTTTTAAAATACCCCTTTTCAGGATTGTCTCAAAGGAAGTTTAAAAATCAACCTAAGCAGCTTTTTTTGCTGTATAAACACCCTTTCCCGATTATTAACTTGTCTCCAGTTTACAATATTAAATGAAACAGAAGAGTGCACTGACGCGTAGTAAAAAGCAATTAGCGGCCCCCCAACAAATGAATCAATTACAATCAACACAAAATTACAATCAATTGGTTTTGCTTACAAAAATCATAAAACTGTCTAATGACAAGCGAGACACCATAAATGATCCCTTCCATAGTCGAAAAAGGACGTGTCATCAATATACATGAAGACACGGCAGTCACCGTTTAGAAATGCGGGCAAATCTTCATATGTAAAAGAAAATAGAAAGAAAGGGACCCAAAATTATTCCTTGGGGTGTGTCCAGATTGACATTATAAAAATCCGAGAAGTTTCATTTGCTGAGAACCTTATTTTCATTTTGTGAATGTGATAAAATCCATACATTAAGAGGTCCTCTAGCTTCTTTGCCATTATATCCTAGTTGAAGTAGTCAAATGAGCCAGACAGATCGAGAAATACTCCAACCACGGTATTTCCGATATTGACCTAATCACAAATATGCTATTGCTGTGCTATTGGTATAGGTCTATAACTCTCCATCACCTTTGAATCCCCTTTTTGAAACACGGGAGTCATTTTAGAATTTTTCAACGCCGAGAATAAACAGGTATTCGTCAAATTAACTTTGCGTTTAAAATAGCACAGCATTCATAAATAGCTGAATGCGCCAGGAATTCCAAATGTCGATGTCGAATAACACCAAATAACCACAAGAAAATTGACAATTTAGCTTGTGGCGTGATTTCCACTGGCAGAACGTGTAAAACATGAAATCGTAGAAAATGTTATTTAATTTCAACTTGAACTAGTATTGCTACTACTAGAAAGTAATCTTAGAATCAAAAAAGAAGAACGAATCCTAAGTTCATTAATCGCAAATACTCTTCAAATACCCTAGCATTATGCCAATCTACTTTTATCAGATATTTATCTGGAATACCAACAAAGATTAGACAGGCACTGACGTTTTTAAATATCGCAAAAAAGTTCTTTACCGCACCTTGTCGAATGATTATTGCTGGGGCAAAAGTTACTTTAAGTGGTAAATACAACAGCAAATTCTTGTATTACTTTGAATCTGAATTAAATATAGGTCTCGAACACACACATAGATAAGTGTTACAAAGTTAGGGCCATTATTAATTGTTTTCAACAAAAACCACAATTAGGGTTCGGATTCTGACATAATAAAGAAAGAAAATAATTATTATAATAATTGGTAGAGATGATTTTTGGAAATTACAAATTGGCCTATGGTAAATAGAAGAATGATTATCTAAATGAGCAAAATTTTGGATCCTATTCTATTTGCGGTGCGTCCGTGTCCTTTCAGACCTTAGGCCCGCACGTATTCACTCCCTTCCCTAGAAGAGCCCAGTACTCTCAAGGAAGTACAGTACCTCTTTCATGGAGAGTGTAAATAGTTCCTCAATGAATTGAGCACCCACTACTCTTAATCGGCTGAGCCCTATTGCTTTTTTTTTTGGAAACTTTAGCGTCACAAGAGTATATTATTTACAGAGAACAGTGTAACATATATTAATAAAGGACATAGTAGAATCAATGAAATCTTGCAAATTTTATGAAAACGTATAAAGTCAATAGTAACTCCTTAAGGTGTGGTAAGAACACAAATTTGCAATAGCGTCACACGGTTGCAAATATACTAATAATTAATTTTGGTTAGTAAGAAGAAGTCAATTCGTAAATATCGAGAATCCGAGAGTCTATACAAAACGATTCTTAAAAAAGGGGAATGTTAATGAATAAACAAATAAAAAAATAAAAAATGATTTGCTTTAAGGTAATGAATATTGCACTTCATTAAAGGCTAACCGAAATTAACTGTTAGTATATTTGCAACCGTGTGATGCTATTACTAATTTGTGTTCATACCACACCCTAAGGAGTTGTTATTGACTTTAGGAGTCGACATTAAAATAGTCCATATTTAATATACGTTTTCGCGGCTTTAGTTTTAAAATCTAAATTAATTTTCTGTGTGTGTGTGTTTTTTTTTAACTTTTCTCGTATGTTTCTCAAAATTATTACTTCCAATTGGTTTAATATTGGAACCAAATTTTATTGCTAATTAATCAATTAATTGTTTATGTTAAAGATTATATTTCAATAACTAATATTTAATGTTTTAATTTTATTATTTAAATATTGACGTAGAAGGAAGGATCACTTTTAGCTGACAAAACTGCTTGAAATCCAGCAAACAAAGATAGTGATGAGAACAAAAAATGAGAAGAGGAAGGAATCGAATAACGAACTACAGCTGTTGCAATTTTTTGCCTCGGTTGATTAAGAAAACGCCCTTCCATACTATCGTCAAAGAAAGACAGACGCGATCGAAGAATCTTTTAAAGTTCATTATAACCTTAGACAACTTCCGGCTGATCGTATTGACATTTTCCTGCAAGGTCTGCTTTATACGCGAGCTGCTCCTGCTGCGATTGAACGGTATAAAGCAAGCCTGCGCACAACATAGAATACCGCGCGTATTGTATCGTTCGCTGTGCACTTGCTAGCAGCGTACGTTTTTAAAATACCGTGAATATATCTAAAGAATTCCGTTCATGCAGTGAGTGTGCGGTTAAAATGTTTCTAATCAGGTGGTCGCGTGTAAAACTCGTGTCTTAAAACGACTGATTCCTCGAGTTTTTCAAATTAAGAATGTCTTATTTGGATTTGGGACGCATTTTAGGGTATAAAGGTACGTTAAATTTCATTGCCATCCGCAACATTTACGTTCAGATAGAAGATTTTTCTTAACGTGATTTGAATTTTAAATGTGCCGGATAGCCGAATCTGGTTAGTAATTAATCACAGGAAAAAATCCTCATTGAATGACGGTCAGTAATTATTTATGAAATATTATTACACATATTTTTTTTGTTTTATCAGCGTTGTCGTTTAAAAGCGATAACAAGACTTGAATGGCAGATTTAAAAAAATATTTTTAAAACTTGTAGACTGCGTTCATTAAATAAATTATTAAAGAAAAGGCAACCTTTTTCGTATTAAGGAATACTTTCTAGAGCATTAGTATAAAAAAGTACCGTAAAATGATTACACCGCAGTCCTTTGATTTCAGTTAGATGGTTAAAAATAATACGTCATAGTAAACAGTCATTGATATGGAAATAAAAAATACTTGTTAAATTATGTCTTTTAATGAATAACATATTGTATAAATATCTATAGTATAAATAAAGTTCAAATGGATGCAGGGCACCCATATTGATATTCAGCCCTCCAAATGATATAAACAGAATGAAATAAATAATTATTAACTCGAAACAACCCTTTTTGTGATTAGGATAATGAAATGCTGTGCTATGCCTCTCATCAATGTAGCGCATATATAATTTAATTTAATTTTGACGAATTTCAGTTTTTAACCGAATAACGTTTTTTACCAATAAACTAGAATTTTTTAGTATTCTCAGGGAGGTGACATTTTTTGTATTTTTGGCAAATATCGAGTTTATAATAATTATTTAATTTATAATAATATGACATAGCGACTAAATGAAAATTATTTCAGCAAATATACAATCCATTCAAAGGGCTGTATGGCAGTCAGGATGCTCTAAAACAGTTTTATACCATTTTTGAATCTACTTCACCTTACCTTTCGTAACAACCTTTTTAGGAACGCTCTATTTGAAACATATTTTGTTACTTAAACCTATTATCTTTGTTATTTAAACCTATTAAAAGCTACATTAAAAGACTAAAGCCTACCTAAAAAAATTATAGAACCATACCATTTTACTATTAAATATTACAATGTAATATTGTAATATTGCCATTGAAAATGTAGTGAATTTTTAGAATTGTTGCCTAATGGATATGAAAGTTTATCATTGGCTCTACTTATATATTTTTTAATCATTCCAGGATGGCGCAATTTCATGGGGCTCATGTTAGTTCTTCATTTTATCATTTAACTATTTTTTCGCAGCATATCTAGTACATCTTATCATCAACGATTGGTTAGATACGCAATTATTTGTTTCGTAAGTACGGGTAATTTATCCAGTCCGCTTGGTAGCAAGCTTTAGTGGCTTACGGTGGTGGTAATACTAGCATTTCTATTAGTGAAATAAAAAAAATAGTTAAATTAAATCAAAAATTTGCATAATAAAATAAAGTCAATGTTTAGAATTAGACTACTAGATTCGTGATGGTGAAAACAGTAAGAAGAACAGAGTGGTGCAAATTAGCTGAAAATTAACATCGTTAATAATTAGTTAATTTTGGTTCTTTGGAAATATGTCGGAAACACTTACTCTTCTGGCGTTTTGTTTTTTTTTGTTGGGCTAAAAAAATCCAACATAGCGTTACACAATGATCTATTTTATTCCTTATTGTGCTTAATTTGTATATGCTCAATGTGTACGAATTTTTTAATAATAAAGTAAATAACACACATATCATCAAAACGTATGCGATTTTTACAAGAAAGCACTATATTTTCTCAACGTACAATGTGTATATGTAACGAGAAGATCGATTTATGCAGGACTATAGTTGGTCATCTCACCCGTCCATTATTGTTGAACCATTAAGTTTTTAGTTGGATAAAAGTTCAAAAAGTTAAAGATATCTGTTCTATGAAACTTTAAATAAAACTTTCATTATGGTTTTTTACCTCATTAACCTCAATTATACGCACCCTGCGTCGTTTTCGAACTAGAAACAAACACTACAAAGCTGCAAAGCCCAAAGCGCAAAAAGTCAAGCTGAAAACTTAAAATTTTCTACATTAAGAAAATTTCTATTTCGTCTCATCTTTCGAAATAACGGCATCTGGTTGACGTTATACTTATATACATGTTCTTCTTAGATTATTATACTTCCATGGCTTGTAGGTGCACTCTATCTCGAGGTATCTATTTATAATATGTGCGTGTAGTTTTACGATATCAAGTCCAAAATGGTTTAATAGCCAATAGTTCGATATTGACGTTTACTATCACTAGGTACATGACTCTCGTGTGCAAAAAAACGAGGAGTTAAGAAAGTGAACGTAAATGACAGGAAATTTTGCAACTTTTATCATTCATACGACAAATGAATAAAACATTAGGGAACACGCAATAGTTAAGTTATTAAACGCTCGGAGCTAATTATATGTTTTGGCTGAAAGACGTTAAGAATCAATGAAAGATGATCAACCAACCGTGGACGTATCTGTCTCTCAAGTTTTTAGAAAAACATTTCGTGAAATAACAATGTTATCTAATGAAATAATGAATGAAATAAAACAGTAATGAATGCTTTTATCCGGAATCGCAACTGTAAACTATTAAACAAAAATTTTAATTAGTAAGCCAAATAGATTACTAAGTTGTTTCCTCAAAAAAAATATATTTTTTTTCTCCAGGTTTCATTTTTATATTCGAACCCAGTCTATAGGAAATACATTTAATTATTATTATTCTACTATTTAGATTTAGAGAACGGACTCAAACAGAATCAAAGTTGGCCTTTTTCAGTCAAACTTTCACTAACGAAATACAGTTTTACTTTTTGTTAACTAATTCTGAAAAGAATTTCCAATTAAAATACCGCATATACTTACTAAATTACTCTTAATTTCTACCAAACAAGGCACTAATTAAATTTAAACTTGCTAACAATAAGCTCATGAAGTAATAGTTCCAGTCGAAATCACGTAAGATTAATTCATCAGATTGTTTTCCATATATGTATTTATTTGAAATATGTAATACAAAACAATGTCTCAATGGATACATTTATTTTAAATATGTAAAACAAAAAAATTATAACTTTGTTAAAAACACTGAGTAGATACAATTTTTTCAACTAAAATACAAAAATAGATAAGATTTTAGTGCTCTGTATGACAGGGATGATAAATGCCAATAATTAATAATAATAATAATCCTCATTTTATTTTTTTTTCATTATTTTTGTTTATGTCTAACCTTAGCTTACACCAAACTAATCAATTTAAAATAAGTAATAGAAATAGAAGCATTCCCTATTACCAAAATTATATAGAATATGGAAACTAATTATTTAAAATATAATAATAATAAAAAATAAAGATAATTATAAATTTTGGTTTTAATTGATTGTAATTTGGTGTCTTGAGTTAATAATTCTTTAATTGGAATAAAAAAAGCAGTTATATATTACTTATAAGAAAAAAATAATTTCGCTGTTTTATATTGCCGAGTAAATTACTTTAGAAGGCAACTTCACAGCGGCAATTAAATAATCAATTAAATCATACAACAGCGAAAGAGTCTCACTATTATCCGTACTAGTTTCATTTCAGGCAAAGTTAAATAGATTCAGTGAAATTTCTGTACATACAATCATCTCCAGATGATGTTTCATCACATGTACGTATTTCATGGGAAAATAAACAATTATATTATTCAGCGCGTGAGAGCTTCGTTTTGTTGATCAGAAAGTCGCTATAGAGTATTCCTGTCTGAAAAACGATTAAGGAGGAAACCTACCAAACTTAAGCCGATTACGAAAAATTTAATTAAGGTGGGCAAAATCCCAAGTAAAGTTGCGTGTTTATGAAATGTATGCTGACCAAAAAAGTCTTGGGATATGGTTTCCTTATATAGTCCATCCTTCCAACAATCTTGAGGTGTCTAACATTATGAGTGGTTTATACTTTAAGTGTTATTTTGACGTATATTTTGTTCAGAATACAAGGGAGTTATTTACTAATATTATGTGTTTTAAAAATGATGCCAACAAAAATTTAGCAAATAATGAATCTATTAGAAAATTTTAAAGCTAAGCTGAATATTATCTACATTTAATATATCATATTATTCACCCATAATTCGATACAAATGTTAGAATATTAAAAACTTCAAGACTGTTTCGGAAATTACGAAAATTTAATACAATGCCTACTTACAGAAGTAAAACAAGTTACTGGTGAGAAACGGCATTTGACTCACGAGTTTATCACGAGCGGAGCGCAGCGGAGCGAGTGTTTAATAAAACAGTGACTGAAGTTTACCGAACGTGTTGCATACTATACTTTTTCTACAACCCTTAGTTTTTGGGTATATTTTCGCAAAACAACACGACTACATTCACAGTCAAAATTGACAAACGTCAAAATTCAAAGCATCCGTGCGGTAAAATCCCGGAATGTCCGAAGTGGCTCGGATTCATGGGAAACGAAACTAACGTGGTAAAGTGACGCTTCCCGCATGCTAGATCGGTGGGTAATTAGGTATTTTACAGACGGGAGTAGAAAATAGTGTATTATGCAAAAAGTGCGGTAAACGGCATTTGACTCACGATTTTAATTGACACGAGCGAAGCGAGTGTTTAATAAACGAGTGAGTTAAAAAGTTTATCGAACGGGTTGCATTCTATACTTTTTCTACCACCGTTAGTTTTTGGGTACATTTTCGCAAAACAACACGAATACACATCTGACATCACTGTCAGAATTGACAAATGTCAAAATTGAAAGCGTGGGAAATATCTCCGCAAACATCCGATTGCTTCCAAATCCGTGCGGTAAAATCCCAGAAATGTTCGAAGGGGCTCGGATTCATGGGAAACAAAACTGACGTTGTAAAGTGACGCTTCCCGCACGTTAGATCGGTGGATAATTAGGTATTTTACAGAGTAGAAAAAAGTATTTTGATGCATTTATGTTTTGTTCCAACTTTCGCAAATACTCGTAATATGTGAGGTTCTCTACCATCATTAAGGCGAAATATTAAATTTAACCACATAACTAGATAAAGAAATTTTGTTCTTCGGGCAGTTTAAACATCGCTTTAAAGTTCCTTAATATTCCATTGAAGGTTATTCTTTATTTGGCGGGATAATAAAAACTTAATACGATGTGAAACAAAAGCTATTAGCCATTACGGCGTACATGTGGCTCTGTATAACTCGGAAAGCTCCTTATATACATCCCTTCTCCCTAAAAAAGTTGACAATTTCGTTGAATTTTTGTCCAATCACGCTTTTAAATGAATTTCGTAAAGTTGCCGTTCCTCACAAATTGTGTTCGAATAACAATCGACCTTTATAATCATCCTTAGCAACCATATTTATAGTTCAACGTCATTTTTCACGGCATCTGTTTGATAGGTTTATGTCTTTCCAACCTATAACATCATTGTAAATTCTGCGCACCCGGGACCTACATGTGAGAGTCTATCTAATCTGCTAGTTAACTTTGCAACTCCGGACATTAAGAATTTGATAGTCTACAAAATAAATCTACCCCTTCTATATATTATATAGCGTTTCTTCATTCGAACGCATTTACACATTTTTATAGCTTGATCAAAATTTATGGGCACAACTGCCTGACTCCATATGTGGAATGGAGAAAAAAACGACACTAAATTAAAAATGAAAGTTGTATTGGACAAGAGATTCTTCCTTTCATTAATTTATATTCTCCGAAACGAGGCTGATGTCGGAACACACCGCACGACTTTTTGTGTAGCTACTTAGGAGTAATGGGCAGGTTAACAGCAATATTTTTACTTTCACGCGATTTAATCTACGTACGTTGTTTTAATAAACGCGTGAGAAGCTGATTCCGAGGCGAAATGGGATGTACTTATAACAAGTTATTACAATAATGACTGATTGGTTTAAACTTTTGCAGAGCCAGGAATTATACTGCTCCTCGGGAACGTAAAGTGAAATTAATTTCAGAGAAAACATTGAATTGAATACCAAGATCTTCCAGATGATTCTTTAATCAAGTAGATGTTATATTCTCTTATCGAAAGCATTGTTGCACATTTTGCATATTATATTTCTTTGCAAAAAAACAAAAGTTGATTAAATTTGAGAAAAATTATCTAAAACAAACAATAAATTTTGTGTAAGATGATTATTAATGGATATTTGCACAAATAATCATAAAAAGAAAAATTGTCCTTATTCAGGTTTAAAGAAACCTGAATAAAGGCAAAGGTAATGGCAAAAGAAATCTTACAGTAAGGGATGGTATTTAACATCTTTGTTCTCATGAAGCGCCCTAAAACAGACAATCACAGTTATAACTTAAAATTTTTAAAGTTTTTATTTCGGAAATGTAATTAACATCACGAATGATATTGAGAGTAACAAACTTTTTGAAATAAGGCAGACTAGTACACCTTATTATATTAGAGATTATTAAGGAACCAGCACACATTTAAGACTCTAGCGGAAATGCGGAACTTGTTTGCCGACTTCACGCAAGAGTGTACATATATTTTGGTAACATTCTGACCAATTATCTCCGTTATCTATTCCCATAAGATATTAAAAAATATATATTTCCCACGATATGATAATTTGATAATATTAATTAACTATGAAATGTAAATGCCACTGATTGGAAAGATCGGGAAACTGTTGCAGGCTTCAGTAATGGAATAATTATTTAAATCGACTTTTTGCCTACAAAAGAAATACGAATGAGCCAAAGATTCTTAACAGAAAGGTGTGGAATTAATTTCGCTCTATCACACATTTTTTAGCTAAATAACAATTAACACGTTTTAGGCTACAGCTTGAAAGATTATGTTAACACAGCAACACGCACGCACGCGCCCACACACACACACACACACACACACACACACACACACACACACACACACACACACACACACACAATATAAGTGTTATGTTATATGCGAGAAATTCAGAAAAAAACATTGGAGTAGGTTGACTTCAATGCTTTGAAGGTTGATGCTTGCAGGGGGGTATATGGGTTTACATATACGACCCTATGTGGCAATAAATGGTAATACTAATACTACACCTAGTCGCTGTACTAACAGCTTCGAGCGATTTTCGTATTAAAATTTATCGATCTTTCCTTTAATCGTGTGCATTTTTAGATTCCAAATTTTTTCTACATTTTCTAAACTAGATACTGGACAAACTAGTAGACTCTATTATACGAGAGGTTATTGAAAACCAGCACGCCTTTAAGATACTGGGAGGCAAATGTGGAACTTATTATCTAAATATACGCCCAAACTTGTACTTGTCTGCTGACTTCAAATAAGAATGTTATTTAAATAAATTTATGCAACATTCTAAGCAATTATCTTTCTTCATTATCTTTTCCCATAAAATATTGATTAATTTTTAAATTCCCATAACAGGATGACATGATAATACGATAATAATAATTGCGCAGCTTTTTCTATCATATTGTTTTACTACAATGGTTAACTTATGTGTCCAGAACATTTTCGTTCTGAGGACACGACCCCGATTAATTTAATCCGCATAATATCTGCACCCGATTACGTTTTCGTTTCCGTGCAAGCGGTCAATAAATTTCTGGAAATTCGTGCCTATGCATAAGACTTCACCGTTTGTCGACAGAGATTACCCATGTACACTCCACGGCAGCTTTATTGCCTCCTTAGTCGTTGCATCGCATTGCTCAGATGGAATTTTGTCTTGCGGTCATGAGAACCGCGCGGTTGTATTGAATTAAATAATGCGTGACTTGTGTTTATTAATGAAGTGAATTTGGAACGACGCTTCTCACGAATAATTGATTACATTCCGTTTATGGATGTGATTGAAAGCAGAAGCATGTCCACCAGCCCGCGCCACAGCGAGATGTTTTACATCGTTTTGAAAAATCCAATTTTGCAGCATATATATAGCTATCAGATAAAGAATAATAACGCAATAATATAGTATACAAGTCTAAGAAAAATCAATAGTTGATTTTTTAAGATGTTTAGAAACCCATTACGAGAGGCTGCTGATTTGAGCTGCTATAAATTTTGCTCGTGGCTTTCTTCAAATTTTACGTCTGCATTCGTCTATTTATTTGCAAAAACTAAATTCAGTCAATAGAAGAAATAAAACTCTGTCTCGCTCTACATAGTGGAATAACGACTTGAGTGGATATCTGTGATGTATGGTTTTCGACAAATTTAAAACCACCACATATCAGCTAAAAGAATCAATGTATCCGTATAAACGTACAAGTTTAGTCACCACGATCACACTTAGCTACTAAGCCTTTTATTCTGTATTTAATTTTAGTAGGGAAGTTTCTTGTTGATCCAAATACCTTTTATTTGTTTATTTTGTGACTCATTGTCGACTTACTTATTACATCCATACAGCTGAAGATGACCGTGGTTGGAACATATACAAGAAAAGATTGTTAGTATTAGAGTAGAGTACGATCCAGTTTTCTTTTTTCTATCGCGCAACTCTGATGTCGCTAGATCCCTTCGTAAGTTTATCAATAAAAGTTTTTGATATCTATCCGTAGAGGGTGGCCCGTTTATCTCGAAACCTACGAGGGTTGCAAGAAAAATTGAATGCAAAAGTTCTTTTTATTAAAATGACCTTTATTTTATTTCCCTAATCGTCACTTTTTTTTAATAGAACACCCTACATTTTATATTTTATTGCATTTTTGCATTTTTGGATAGTCCTTTCAAAGACAAATTCAACGATATACATGAGCATGGATCTGTGATGCACCGTTTCGAACTAGCGATCATCTTCAGAATTCGGGTTATGTTTAAACCATCATTGTTGGCTTGCTCATTAAGTTTTTGAACCTTTTTCCATCTATTACTTTTACGAAAATAATTCTTTTCTTTAGTAATGATAAAATTTAAAATATTTAAAATATATTCTATTGTTGTTGTACTTTTCTCAATTTTCTTAAATGTATATTATTGAACTCGAATAGTGTATAGTATATTGTAGTTTTCTGTTGTCGTAATATGAGTGATATTTTAAGCATATATAAAAAGTTTAAAAGTTAATAACCAACCCAATAATGGTGGTTTAAACATAACCCGAATTCTGAAGATGATCGCTAATAAGTTCGAAACGGTGCGTCCCAGACCCATACTCATATACATCGTTGAATTTATCTTTGAAAGGACTATCTAAAAATGCAATAAAATGTGTTCTATTACAAAAAATGTAACTTTGTTTTACCACCCTGTACATAAAAGAGTGACGATTAGGCCATTTTATTAGAAACAAATTTTGTATTTTTTTTTTGTAACCCCGTAGATTTCGAGATAAGGTATAGGCCCCTCTTAAACAGCAACCCTGTACGCTAACTCCTGAAAAATTGCATTTCAAAAACAACATTTTCTGTCCAACCACCTATGCACTGATAATATACAAACTATTCTGTTATACGAAACTAGGCAAAAAATAAACCAAAACTTGTTTGTTTCTATCTTAGGAAGGATGGTAATTATAGATCTGCTACAAACTTAGCTCCGAAGCTCTAAAATTATGTTGGTTGCATATTTTTTTCTTTTTTATTATTCTTTTCTTTTTCTCAATACTTGTAATATTATATTCATTTTATTTAGGTAATTCGTGAATTCGACTATTTTCACATTGTTCGTGGCATTTGGTTGTCCATATGTATTTAATGTTTGGCAAGATGCAATGCAATGCTGTTTGAAAATTTCACAAAGTACAGGTTCGTGTGTGAAGATTATTCGATATTGTACGAAACTGTTGAGTTCCATGTTCAATTCATCTAGTAGATATATAGTTTCAAGACTTTATTGCGTTTATCTGAAAAATGTACTGCTGTTTCAAATTCGAAAACTTGGAAATGGAAATAAATAATATGTTAATTAATATGGTAATAAAATAGTCCTAATTGGTTAGATCTATGACGTCATAACGTTTACAGGATGTTCCTAAAGATATATCTATATTTCAAGACCAAAACAGCAGTTTTATTAAAGAAAAGGGGATTCCTAGATTTTTTTTTAGAATAAACTGCTATCTTTGCTACAACATAATCCTTAGAAATTAATCTTTTCACTAAAGCACAGTAAAGATTGACATACACAGATAAATGGATGAATGAATAAACTATTTATATTTTTATTTGCTTTTTTTTGATAATTATGTTAAACACATCACAGAAATCTATAAATTGGACTCAAAGAGGAAACTTCACATACTTTTCAAGTATTAATAACTAGAATTTTTCTAAAATAAATGAGTAGGTGATATTTATTTAATGATACAAATCAATAATTAACGGCAAAATTTTCATGTTAAAACGGAAGGATCGGGTATGAAGCCAAATAAAAAAATGCTTAATTGAATGCTCGATTCAAATACACAACGTTTTCGCACCGCAGAATACACGCCTACTCGAGCGCAATTTAATGCAAATTGCAAAATATTTGCGTAAATGGTCTAGTTAAAATTCATCCCGCCGGAGCTCTGATTCGCAACGGTAAAATAATTTCTATAGAAACATAGGCAATTGATGCTTTCATAACTAAATACTCCTGCTGTTAATTTGAAATGGGCGTTGGGCTTTTAAACTGTTTTGCTTTGTCTAGTTACTCAAAAATTTTGATGTTATCGTGAAAGTTTTATAACATCATCAACATCGGCTTGACTTTTTGGGAGTGCTTCGCTTTTTATTAATATGGGAGTGGTTGTACATTCTTAATTACTTAATCCGCCCGTGTTTGACTTATATGATCTCTATTAATTGTTGTATTTCAATATCAAGGCTTGGTTCTAACTGTTTCGGACGAATCCTATGGGGCAATGCACTTCGCGTAAGGCGGCTGGCGCCTTTGCAGCATCCGCGGCAGTGTCACACAAACGACCTAAGAAAATGCACAAAATTAAGGACCAACAGGTGAGAACGTAGATTAAAAATTTATCTGCATGCCTCGTCACGTCTAAAGAGATTATAGATGAGGTGGAGCAAGAGGTGTGTTGAAATGGTAAAGAAAAACACTAACATCTTTTCAGTGTCTCTGTCGACATTTCGCTTGTTTACTGCGCTATCCTTACTCCATCAAAAGCACTTACAGATATATACATAGAAAAATCATACGCCAGAAATATTTTACTTGTGGTTGAAAAAACATGTTTACATACATCAAAGTTATATTGACAAAAAGCAAAAGAAATTTCCTATAACATCAGGATTTATCAATTTTTTTTTCAAAATTTATTGCTACAACACAATCTTTAAAAACAATTTTTTTCTACTCTTTTCTCTAACATTAACATTAACACTGTCCCATTTCGGACGTTTCCGATATTTTTGTCAATTCTATTCCTACATCACATGTCACTCATTATTCGTTGATAAAGTTCTTTATACATTAGTCACTAAAATGGCGTTTAACCAACTTAATATACTACAAATCATAATAAAAATTAGTTAATTCAATTAAGAAGCAGGTTTATGCTAGCTCATTTAGTTGCTGAAGAAAGATTTTCATTTATACTTGCTGTTTCCTTTAAAAATATCAAAAAGTAAAATCACCTTGTGTAGACTCCACAAACACCATCAGAAACCTATGATTTTTTTTCATTTGTCTCTTATATTGGCTTTTGCTTTGTTTTTTTATATATAATATGTATACACAATTTGTGAATTTGAACTATTGAACTATTTTGATTTTGGAAGTATCTGATTATCTACCAAGGATTTTCTAGTAGTGATGAAAATGTTAGATCTCCTTTAATGTTGTTTAGTGCTGTTCCTTCACGAACACATGAAATTTAGGGCTTCATTGCTTCATTTTTACCTCAAAAAAATGACTAGCATTGTTATACAATTGCTACTTCGAGGGGTGTGTCGCAGAGGGGTTGTTGTCTTTGCTGTTAACTTCTTTATGTTTATGTTCTAAAGTTGTTTAAACATTAATAAGCGTGCGACATTCTAGTCGACCTAAAAGTTTGCAATTAAATCTTATCTATTATGCCGTTTATCAACGATCTTGATAAGCGTCCTACCTACTTCAGCTCAGCTGAATTTAAAACGCTTAAACATTTGCGTTCAGGTTGCGCTTTGAAACTATTTTTATTTAATTTACCGACTTAATATCTCTTTGAGAAAATAACTGCCTTTCTTGATTCGCATAACAGCATTATTTATTACGATAATAAATTGTTGCGTAACTTTATTCGTGAGTTAAACAGGTTATTGTTATAAATCAGACTTTTTACCGTATTGTTAGACACAATTTTTTTTTGTGTTTGAATGACCACAACAGGTTGTGTCAGATCGCGCCATACAAAGCTATCGATTTTTCGTGGCCGTTTCTTGAATAAATAATTTGATATTTGATTGACAATCAGAATCCGAACTCGTACATGTCAGAACTTTTACTATGGTATAATCTATTACTATTTTAAACTGTACCGTTAGAGACCATACTTAATATTTGTAAATATTTATATTGCGTAACTGTAATTAACGGAGAACCTGTTTGCTAAAATTAATATCTTCGTTCTTTACCGGAGCTTTCATTCGCATTAAGGTGGTATTTGAAAAAGATACGATCTATGAAACGAACAGGATCTTAATTTTTTTAATCGTGCAATGGAAAACGTTGTTTCAGACGAAGAGATTGTTTGCGATCCTCGGGCGCACGATTTGAAGTAACATCAATTTCGCCTCTGTCGACGTGAAAGATTTCAATTTATTTATAAAATGGGTTGATTTATTATTCTTCGATACTGAACCGTGGAAGAAAAAGAAGCAGTCCTGTACAATTTTCAATTAACAATTGACCCGTAACGAGAGAAAATGGAATACAATTATATAGGAAAAATCCTCAGTTTGGTGCATTGTTATTCTCGCCAATTTTATATAAACTTGTGAGAATCAAAGCGGCAAAGGTTTTTTTTTGTTGATATCGTATTTTGTTCAATTACTTTGATTTCAGGTTTTCCGGAATATTAAACACTCACAATACACAACCAGAAAAGCAGTTAAGGTGTCCGTTAGGGTGAAATTTAACTATAATTTTTAATAAAATTTTTATATATAGAAATATTTTTGTGTTCTCCAAAAAAGATAGGGCTAGGAAATGTTTGAGGACTAAATGTATATGCTGCGCTTGCCAATACAGTTTAAGTGTAGGGTACTTTTCTTAATAATTACATTTGCTGCTTAATTTAGATTAATCACATTTAAAACGTACGCGGTGGCCGGTTTATAATAAATTTCAATTATCAATGAATTACACATAGGTTGGTCAAATAAAGTTAAAAGTTCAAAAGACGAATCCAGGGATGTACATAAATATCTATATATCGGTCTCTAACACATTGTTAATAGCTAATATCTTCGGGATTCAATTTATGTTCGAAACGTTTTTGTTACGTTGCATATTAACTTTTAAAACATTTTTGTGCCTAACATTTTTTTTTCAGAGAATATTTAAAAGTTAAATATTTTTATCAAATATGCGATGTTGCAATGTTTCGCAAAATGTTTCTTCTCTAAAAAAATTTTAAGTCAATCACCGCGTATATTTGAAAAGACAAATCCAAAGATATATATATATATATATATATATATATATATATATATATATATATATATATATATATATATATATATATCAATTCCGAGGTAATATTTAAGCAAATAACCTTAATTCTAAAAGCGTCTCTAATATTTTTTGATGAAATTGCTGAATCGAAAATCATTTATTTAAAATACTGCAAAAATTATAGATTATATTATTTTGAAAACAGTAACAATATTTGACATATAATGTATATATGCAATAATGTATATTACCTCCAGATACTTTATGGCATTTAATAGATAACTTTGTCATAATAATATTATAAGACCGATTTAATTTAATATAATAAATTATACTGTTTCATTTAAAAAATATGCTTTTACTTGACCACCCTGTATATAATAGAGTGACAATTGAAATAATACCAATAAATGAAGATAATTTTAGTGGAAAGAACTTTTTATATAACACTCATAGATTTCGAAATAAGGCATAGGCAACTCTTAAACCGGCCACCCTGTGTACATAGTTGAAAGATCTTGAAAGAATTTAATTAATGGGAATATACTTTTAATATCAGATTCTAATTCACCACATTTTAATGCCAACCAACATTTAGATAAATTAAATGATTTAATGTAGATTAATAAAACTATGTTGTCACTCACGATATCTCGATTATCTCCTTATTTGTGCTTTCAGATCAGGAGCGGTTAAGAATAAAAAAAAATTACTTAAAAAAATAACCTGAAATAATTCACACAAATGCCGCAGACTTGTAGTTTCTGAAGCGATTTGATGATTTTTGTCCAATTTCGTATTAATCTCCGTTCCTGAATCTAAAAAGAGGCATTGACAATTAACTACTTTGTGCGATGATGCAAGGTAATGAGATACACGAATAGATAGTTAATGATTTTGCAAAGTACTTTCATAATCTTGACCCTGAGTCTAACCATAATATTAACATCAGTATTGATAGGTTGAAGAACAGTAAAATTATTCATGCGTCTTAAGTTTCTTTCGTAGGAATCTCCATATAATTCATATAACCACTTTTATAATACTTGATTTTTCTCTTAATTCTCCGTGGCTTTTATAAAATTTTGAATGTCTACTATACATAGATTACTTAAATGTGAGTATTAATAGAGGTTTTTCAGTTTTTGTTAGGAAAGCTGTTTCCCCTTTGTGGACCACTGAACTAAATGTACGAAATATAAAATGTATAACTATTGTATAAGTTCCGTTGATATGACAGCAATACTGATCGAGGTATCAGATTTGGGAGTAACAATTGTGAAGAATTTTAGTTTTACTCTGCACATATGTTCTATAATTTTGTCAGCACGAAAAGTCCCGCATTTGTTTTACTAGAGAATTTAGCTATTCAATACACAACACGAGGATAAATCGATTTGTTAACTGTAACAACATATTCAGCACAATAATGGCAACAATGCTCCTAGTCCTGTTAGCAAAGGAAAAAAATCAGAACTCCAAGAAGGTACTTGTTGAACCTAAAAGTGAAAAGAGAAAGATATTCAAGAAAGATAAGATGATGTAATAGAGGAAGGTGACCAGAAGTCCCTCTGTCGGCACTACAGTTCCGATTTTTCACAATTTGTCCCGCGTCCCTCGACATTTTTCAAAAGTTCCGACTTTTGTAGAATTAAGTTAAATTTCATATTCGTTAAAATCATTGTTTGGCGTTCCAAGAATCCTACAATTTGTTTTGCGTTCTCGTTGCATTGTGATTTGTCTCTCAGATGATACACTTCGTGCTGCTTGCTAGCAAGCTAATTAAACAAGTAAATATCACAAATCTGCTATTTACTATAGAAAATTATATATTTCATAAATACATAAATTTTCTTCAACTTAACCTTAAAAGAAATTTTGAAAAGAAATATACGAATAAAATTTTGCAAACTAATTTTTATAACGAAATACAACAATAAAATATGTTGTAATGTAAATTATGTTTAGTGCAAATTAATTTGGCGAAATTTTGCCTACGTGAAACGAATATTTGTACTGTGTGTGAAATTAATTCAAAATTTTGAATTTATCTTTAAGAATCAAGCATACAAATTGTTACTTGCATGTTTTAGCGTATATAATAATTTATAATTCGATTTAATTTTTTAGATTCTTAACAAAATGAGTTAGAAAAGAGGATGTAAATTCAACAATGATTTAAGAAGTGAATATGCTTTTATTAAAAAATAATAAAATGTAATGGTACATGTACGTGTACATGTAATGTACATGTAATGGTGAATTTAGTATTTCGCACGGAGGAAAGAATGACATTTCACAGGATTTGGAGACGAAGAAACATAAAAGATGTTTAAATACT